AGACAAAGTTTCGAACACTGTTCATAATCAATTGTAACTATACAACTTTGAAACTTGATTCTCAAAATTCTCATTCTTCTTTCTCATTCATCCCAGGGGTAGTAGAATTTTCCAGATGCCTGAGATAGGCATTTAATTATTCGTGTTTGGATATGATAGAGAAGATTTGTAGCTCAGGTGGATGATTTCGATGTAGTTGTGTTGTCTGAGCTAGCGGGCTGGCTGGTTTATTTGCAAAGCTTTCATTACCCTATCTCATAGACGTCTTCCAAAAGAATGAATATCTACGAGACTTCATCAAAAGACATCTATCCCCAAAGGAAAGCAGAAAGAAAATTGTCCTACCATTTATAAATAACATCTCAGAAATCACTGCAAAACTCTTTGAACCTTTATGAATTGATGTAGCACACAAACCAACAAAATCACTTCACTCAGCCAGCCAGCCGTGTGTCAACCAAAAGACTCAACAGCAAATGAAAGAAAATGAAACCAACATTATTTACAAAATAAATTGTAACAATTTCGAAAAACACTACATTGGTCAAAGTGGACATCCCCTTCGTCTTCGTATCCATGATCATATATTAGTCGTCAAAATACATGATATCCACTTCCTTCCTCATATCACTGCATACAGACAACCACGGACATCAATTCGACTGGGACAACCAACGTTCAAATATTAGACAGAGAAAACACCAAGAATACTAACGAATTTTTAGAGGTCTAGTATTCTAGTGAATCGTCAATCAATAAACACATCGAGATAGACAAAATTTAGCAGCCCGTAAGAAGGAAATGTCACACACAAAGGGTCAAAGTTCAAGTTAAAGAAACAATCAACACCAATATCGACCGATACAAGTAGCCTAGAGGGTGTGAAAACACACAAACACAACCAAAGAGTCACGTTCAAGGTGGTCACCAGGAGAGATGACTAATAAACTCGTGGAGAAATCTAAAAAGCTCACTTCAATTCAAATTGAAGTGTATGCAATGAAGATATTGCCTAGTAGTAGGGAAATATTGAAAGCTTCGCAAGCAAAACCATCCAGCTAGCTCAGAGAACACAACCACATCAAAATTACCCCTGTTGCATGTATTCTCAGGTAATTCGATAAATGAAAGCTTCCCTACTAAGTCTCTCCAGCCTGTTACGTTAGATTTTAAGACTGACGCCTTATTCCATTTTGTATTGTATGATTCTGTGTAATTGCATATAGTGCTACAGTAGGGTTTTCTTCTAGATTTCTTATCTTACTAGGGGTCAACGAATCTCAATTTTGCTAGGTTTCTGAGCTCTGATACTTTGATCTGTGTATTTGACCACCTCTTAACCACCGTGGGATATTAGATAAACTGAATTATTTTGTTTAAGGGGTTCCACAGGGTTCTCCAACTGACATAATTTGTTTTTAAATGAGTGTGTAGGTTTGAATGCCACACTTTTAATCCTACTTTGATACGCATCCTATGTAAGGTTTCCAAGGCTCCTCTCTTTGTATGAAAGTACTACTGACGTCTTAATGATAAGGAGATCATGGATGAAGAACATCAAACAGAGGGATGACAACATCAACAATAGGGAATTTAAAGTATCAATAGCACTACCATACAATGAGCGATCCTCTGCTCTGAAATTCTCAGTTTGTAGATTATACAGTGTGAGCTGTGGTGACACTTCACCATTAATAGTACCAAGCAGATTATACACTGGCACAGCAATCATTTCAGTTCGACAAAAACAAAAAACTATGGTTGAAATATCACCTTCAACTGTATAACTTGCGAATCGCGAGTTCGATTCACCAAGAGCTTCTCACTTAAACACCAATTCTTTGAAAAGATAGATTATGCTTTCATAAACTAAAGTTATTTAAAACACTCTGCTCTACTAGGACATTCCTCCTTCATGTGTGATCCTACATCAAATATACAGAAATATACTGAAGTAAATGGAAGTGGATCCGATACACGCTGAGCTAACTGTCAGTTGACATCGCACGTCAGGCCCTGGAGTGGGAAACAATGAGTAGGGCGTCCGAGGACGAAATGGAGGAAATCGTGTGAGGAGGAGATGGTAGCCTGGAGGCACTCGTGGAACCAGCTGAAGAGGACTGCAGAGAATAGGACGAAATGGATGCAGATGTGTTGGTGAAGCCCTATGTTTTATACTCGGGACACAAGGGAATAACCATATGTAATAAAAATAAATATTTAGAGTAATTCCATGATCTATGTATCAGTCTGCAGCTCATCGGCAGCCACTGGTTAGATATCAAGAAGTTGTACTGGGAAGCCATGACCAGTAGGGTCAAATCGGTGTCAAGGTGAAGCAGATGCTCATAGATAGCGATCACTGGCGGTAGCGCTACATCAGCAATTCACAGAAGTTAGAATTCACACTGTATTGGAATCCCAACGAGTAACTGAAAGGTCTACAACTTGGCCTGGTGACCTGAAGCTCCTCCTTTATGGCTGTGAACCATGGCCATTGAAAGTAGAAGGCACGAAAAGGCCAGCTAACCGTCGTTGATCATAGGTGCCTTTGTTCTATCTTCCGTGTGAAGTGGTATAGTAGAGTGGGCAATATTGAGGTTAGGCATCGGTCGAGTTCTGGGTAAGGAGGGGAAATCAATCGATGAGGTTGTGTTACGTATGCCTAGTCATCGCCTTCATCGACTGACGGGCAATGTTAGCTAACATAGGCTCAGGTTGGATAGAGCTAGCGGCGTTCAAACCAAAACATGGCCTCATCAGTGAATGAAATCCACAACAGTTAGTTTAAGCCAACTAGCCAATCACGTAGGAAGGTGTTGACTTTCTCATTGGTTGGGGTCATCGGGTTGGTAAAAACTAATGAAGGCTGGAGACAGTCGGTGATATGGCTCAAAACCGTTCTCAATAGCTGGTGCAGATGTATCCACTCCTTGTGACTTATAATACCCAATGAAACTATACTGTTCTTCGTTATTACTATTGCTTGGGTCAAATATCCCTGTTTACTGTCTCTGTTTTGCATTTCTTCTACTTTCTTCTCTTGCTTTGTGTACTACATGGAGGGAGTGTGGCGACTTGAACTGCTGCACATCGGTGCAAAGTTCTATGCCAAAAACAGACAGAGGCCTAAATCCTTGATGAAGTCATGGATGCGTGCCATTGAAGAGTACCACACTAGGACGAAAACAACTGCTCAGCGCTCCCTAGTTTTCAATGATCTCTTCAACTTAACTAATGATAGTTCATAATGAAATATACATTGACACTATATATACCAAAATAAGTAATAACAAAAAAAATAGTATAATTCATTTTTTTTTTAAAACACTCGAACCTCTTTCAAACGTGGTAGAAGATGTGCAGCAACATGGAATTCAGTTTGTATTCGAGTACGTGTAGAACATCGATTTGAGTCGAAAACATCACTTCGTTTAGACCATTCAAGAAAACTTATCCGTGCAGATGTATCACCTTTCAGAGAATTTGGTTTACATGTTCTAGGAAGTCTAAATGGTTTCATAAAAAAATAATAAAAACCATTAATAAATATAAAACATTATTAATATAAGATTGCACTCCAAATTTATACATTTTTTAGTTTTTAAAAGTTTAAATATTCAAAAGGCATAGAAAATGAATTATCTCTGTGCAGGAGCTGAGTGAATGCCTGGCAGGTTTCAACAGAGAACTTTGCACCGATGTTTAGCAGTTCCAGTTGTCACACTCCCTCCACGTAGCATACAAAACAAGAGAAGAGAGTAAGGACGGACCGAAAACAGAGATAATAAACAGAAAGAAGTGTGGGAAAAAGAATAGTAATATGGAATAACAATAGAATGCTATTGGATATTATAAATCACAAGGAATGAATGCATCTGCACCGGCCATTGACAAGGACGATTTTGAGCCATATCACCAATTGTTTTCAGCTGACATTGGTTCTTACCACCCCGAGGATCCCAACCAATCAGGAAGTCCACACCTCCTTAAACCACCGTATGGATTTCATTGACTGATGAGGTCATGTTTTCATTTGACCACCACTAGCTCTTTTCCAACCTCATCTATCCTATGTCAGCTAACATTGCCTGTCAGTCGACGAAGGCGATGGCTAGGGATGCATGCTTAACACATATTCTAACCATCGCAGTCGATGTAACTTCACAGCCTCGTCTATTCATTTCCCCTCCCTCCTTATCTAGCACTCGACGCCTAACCTCAATATTGTTCACCTTATTATACCACTTCACACGAGACATAGTACTCAGGCACCTATGATCAAAGACATGTAGTCTTTTCATATCTTCCGGTTACAAGGCGAGCTAGCTCGTATACCATTCAGCCATCCACTGGGACCCAATTCAATGGCCAGCCCATGAATTCTAACTTCTACCAATTCATGATTTAGCGCTACCCCAACTCGTAAAAATAAAACTAACCCTTACAAACCAAACTATGGAAAATTAATCTGATGCTCGCTAGTAACTTGCTACAGGACGGAGTTTCTTGGAGTTCTAGTGAGAAGTCATAACCAGTGAAGTCCATCCAGTTAAGTGTGAGGATCGATATCCCACCGATGACATGGGTTGGTGGTCGCCCTAAAAATCACGAATTGGTAGAAGTTAGAATTCATGGGCTGGCCATTGAATGGCTGAATGGTATACGAGCTAGCTTGCCTTGTAACCGCAAGATCCTGGGTTCGAACCGCTTGTGGTGGGTGTGTACTGTCGATGATTCCCAAGCTAGGCTGACGAAACAGCTGTCCAGTACTTCCTGCAGCTGGTTTCCAATAGTTCTCTCTAACTCATATTAATCCGTGATCAACTACTCGTAAAAATGTAAATTAACTAAAAAATAAAAATACTGGCTAATCTGTTGAGCAAAATTAAATTATCATTCTACGTCATTAAATCTTCAAGTGTAGTCAGCATACACTATAAATCTGAATATACATCATACAAAGTGTGGAACTTTTAACATTTTTTTGTTAAACTTACAATGTTTGAGGGAATATATCCTGTGTTGCAGTAAATGTTACACAAGCCTTTAAATGTATTGGTACAAAATTTGATCCAGGATTTTTATGATTTTTTCCAATTTCAACTGAAGGTATTGTGAAGGAGATATTTAATCTTTGTAAAGCCAATTGACCTTGTGTATAAGAAAAGACAGTAACACATATATATAAAAGAAACTAAATAAACATTTCTTTTTTAAAATTAGGTTGGGTATATTTATTTGACACTAGTCAGTAACTAGTGTAATGTGTCCAGTCCTATCTTCGGTGCAGACTGAATTCTATCAGTCAAGCTTGCAATGTGGCCACCATGCCACTAGGTGGCTCGCCATCACGATGCACTGTGAATTATTGGTAATATATGGTAGAAGGCAATCGGCCACAGGAAGCCTTCAACCTAGGTTTCGTGCTAGTTGACACTCATCTGCGATCTCTGCAAGCTTGACTGATAGAATTCAGTCTGCATCGAAGATAGGACTAGACACATTACACTGGTTACTGACTAGTGTCCAATCAACAATATCCAATACAGTCCTACAAGAGGGAGGTCAATCGCGAGCGTGAATAGCTCAGCGGTAACATCTCTGACTGCAGGCAGCACTGGGTGACGCGGGTTCGAATCTCCTCAGAAGGGACATGAGTTCCTTCAGGGCAGTCGCAGATACGCCAACTAGCACGAAACCTAGGTCAAGCGAGGCTTCCTGTGGCCGATTGCCTTCAACTATATTATACCAATATTTATGTGTATATAGTAATCGACTTAACTGTTTATGTGGTTAATCGAAATCTCCTGCTCGTCAAAGGTTGAAATCAGCCACTGAAAACGAAACCGTATGACAGTATTAAGTAACTGTGACTCATGAATGTGGATATTCAACTTTCGACCAATGGATTAGAGAGCGTGAATCCAATCTCACCCAGGCAGGAAGTCTACACACAAACACAGACACACACGTGGCTAGCTCAAACTAACAGTCGAAGACTACGTGAACTAATGCTAGATTTTAGTCTGACCACCTTATTAAACTCTTTACCGACGCACCACCACCACCACTCCTAATATCAGCTAACATTGCTTCATGAGAAAGACAATGGGGTCTGGCATGTGTGACAAGTATCCTAAGCATATGGAATCCATGCGAGTGCACAACTTCATCAATTGTCTTTTACTCCTCACCTGACAGTTTACACTTAACCTGAATGCTACTCACTATATTTTACCACCTAACAAGGGAAACACAACGCAAACATCTGTGGTCAAAGACAAATAGCCTTTTTCCATAACTTCCACTTTCTTATTCACACCAATACACAAGAATAATTATTATTATTGGTCCCTTGGGTTCCTTGTGGAACACAGGGCTTCAACTGCACGTCTCCACTTGCTTCTGTCTTCTGCTGTACTTTTCACCTGCATCCATGTTAGTCCACACTGTTTCAACTCCTCTTCACACGATCTCCTCCCTTGCACGTCCTACTCACCGCTTCCTTTCGGGTTCCACTCGAGCATTGGCCTGACGCGCGATGTCACCCAACGGCCTCCTCCTCAGTGAGTGTCCAATCCATCTCCACTTCCTCCTGCATATTTGTTGGGCGATTGGTTCTTGTTTTGTTTGTTACCATAGTTTCTTGTTGGTGATTCTCCTCGGCCATCTGATCTTCAGTATGGAGCGAAGACAGTTGTTGATAAAGGTCTGCAACAGGCTGTTGGAAATATTCTTTGTGATCCGTCAAGTTTCTGATCCGCATAGAAGAACTGAATTGACGTTTGTATTGAAAATCCGAATTTTGTATACCTCAAGAGTAATGCAAATCAGTAATGTACAAATTAATGTATGGTTGATATAAGGATAAAACTTGGCCATTGTGGTGGAGTATAATTCCATTATGGATAAAATTACATTTTGATTAAGTCACACAATGTTGTTATACAGTAATAATATATACTGATGATCACGCTTCGCGAACAATTTACCATTGCTACTCATAATCATATCAAGGCATTACTCACGCAACTTTCTTGCTTCGTTTATATACATGAGTAGAAATTCATTAGACATTTGAATAAAATCAATATAAGATGAAGTACATTCAGAAATAATAATATTAGTGTTATCAATCAAATACGGTCAGATGGGAAATAAGATGTTTTTATACCAAAAATAAGTAACCTGTTAGAATGTTATAAGGAGAATGGAATACATTTTAACATTATTTATTATCCTCCTCTGATTTGACTGGTAATGATATCTTCTATATCTCCGGTACTAGCGATGATGAGTCACTTGTGTTGCATGTGTTGGGTGTAGACTCGATGAGCAAGGGTTCAGTAATCAGTCTCTCTCTCCACCTACCTATATCAAGTTTTACAATTTTCATGCATGCAGTCCATTTGCTGAGTCTTTTTTTTCTAAATTACTTATCTTCGTGGGATCAATCATTCTAACCTCAGCCAAATTCTTATCTTCTGACAATCTCACTACTCCCTCCCGATCTACTAGTTTAACCTATGTAGTTGACCTCAATCACAGTTATTGCAGGGTATTTTGTTAATTATATTATTTTGTTTAATTGGGTCCACCAACACGGTCCTTTAGCCTACATCGCTTGTAGGTTTGAATGCTACCACCCTAATTCCTGCTTTATTGAGAATCCTACGTGGTGAGAGTCTCAGATGTCTCCTCCCTCCTCATATGGTCAAACTTCTGTAGATGCCTTATATTCTTTCTTATTTATGATATCATTATTTGTGTCACCATTATAGTTATTTGGCTTTTCTGATCTTCCTAATGAATTTTATACAATAGTTATTAAACACCAACCAGCCATTCTTCTATCTGTTTCATTTCATCATTTATGTCTTTTTTGTACTACTTGGCGCTACTGCTCGGTGTGTTAGACACTTAACTAAGCCTGCCTTATGAGACAGATAACGGATGAGGTGAATTCGAGTCTAAATATCTAATAGCAGAATACGTTGGCTTTTTATCAACGCTAGTGTGCAGTTTACATTCTTTTGTTCGTTTTATTTTACAATCTAACACTATAGCTAATTCGCCTTGTTCATTTTCTGATTCATAATGAAATTAATGTATGCTTTTACAGATAACACAGTATAAATTAAACAGGATGATACTATATCTGTTAAACCCAGTTTACTGTACTAATGTTCGAAACTAAGTGCGAACGGGTAGTATTTCGGTGTCTAAGATTTACACCAACACACATACACACAAAAAAAACTACAAATAGACTTTGTTTCATTCCACTTTGCATTCCAAGTCAAACATAGGGCTTTGAGTTTGAGCCCTGTACTGTGCTTGCTACTAGTTAAGCAAGGTTTAGGAATGCGTCATTTGGGAATCGAACCCAGATCACATGTGTTGTTGGATCACCGACGTATACAATTGGACTTAGTAACATAGTATCATGGAATTAATTTATTCCCTGATAGACGACTAAAAATGACTTATAAAAAGCACATAAACCTATTTTATTCTCCAATAAGTTGGACACACTTACAGACATGTTGAAAATCAAGCTCATTGAGTTGTATTCAGCATATAATCAGAGTTAGAAGTGCTCTTCCTTAAGTGCCTAACTCACATATGACCTGAAGAAACCGATTAAGCGAAAGAACATGCATTACAGTTAGTGTCGCACCTTAGCTGGTATTCATAAGCGAAGTTAGTCGATCTAAGCATTAAATTCAATAACAGTATATATTGAGAGAAAAGTTCATTAAAGTTAAGATGCACATCGATAGAAATACTGTACAGTTAACAGATAAGAGGGAATAAAGCCATAATATATTTAAACAAGTCGAATATTTCAGTAATTTCATTGTTCTGCGTATTTCCTATTTACAAAATATCGCTTAGAGAACCGTGTGCGTCGGTGACACAGCGGCAGAATCCTCGCCGACCACGCCTCATGTGGTCCGGGGGTTCGGTCCCTGGCCACCAACGCACTCCTTTACCTCTCTAAGACAGTAATAAGACTGGTAAAGAGGGAAGGTTTTGGGCATGGGGCCAGCAGCAACCCCATCCCGTAAAAATAAACACACAACTGCTACCGAAAATTCAAGTCACTAGCTTGAAGCCCCTATTTTCCACTGGGAACGTGAAGCTATAAAATTTTTAAAAAAACTTAGAGAACCAACCTAGGATTCTAAACACTGGGATTTCAGTCGTTGTGGTCAACATTTATAATCCACTCCGCATACCTCCTGATAATACCACGCAGACACACACACACCGTCAAAAGAAATTAACAAAAGCACAAAAACATGCATAGAAAAAAAAACTGTTCCCCTACAACACAATGGTATCATTCGCAAAACTCCAGTGAAATTTCCACAAACCCTTAACCCACCGTATATACGTACGTGTGCAGTTCGTGAAATCACTGATTTTTACTAGGATTACTATTGCTACTAGGACTACCTGACTGGCTTGCCATTAACAGGTGAATAGACGAAATAAAACTTTCTTGAATCAGGATGATACTAGCTGGTTGTTCAGGTTGAAGTGGAATCACAATCTCAACAGAAAAGAGCTACAAAATGTAAATTTAACACTTAGTATGAAATGATCATTTGTACATAAGTAGATTATTTAATATAATATGCGCATATTACCTTGAATACCGATATGGCGACCACGCATTTGAGCTGTCAGCAGATACGGTACATGATAAATAAATTCTGCATTAGGATATATTACTAAAGGCAAGTAAATTGCATGTGAAATGATGGTTGTATTCCGTTGATCATTGTCTAATCCACGTAGAACATGTGCACCTTCATACGACTCTGCTACAAGTCGACTATTTGATGAATTTGAAAAACAAAACTCTAATCCTGATAACTCCAACAATAACTTGTTCCAATGCTTTTCAACATCTGGATCATTCGGTGGCGGCGACTGATTGACTTCTATGTCTATGCTAATTAAAGCAATAGCACATAAAAGTAGAACCAACGAAAAGATTGCCAGTGGTGGTCGACTAACCAGGAATGACTTGACATAATAAAACTACAGTAGGAAAAAATAAATAAAGACAATCCTAATATCAAGTGGCAAAACAATTAATGTCATGTATAAAATAGAACTTGGAAAGGATGTGCAATTATAGGATTAGTAGGCAAAGAGAATAAAATAAAAAAACGTTACGTAACATTGTGTGAAATTTGATAACATAGGATTTAACGTTGCAAAACAGAATAGATTTAGAATGATAAGTGGACAGTCCAAAGTGAGAATAGTAATAGTAAAAATTGACGTAATAAAGGAAGAATATACAATTCACCTGCTCGTGTGGAGCTAGGCATATCGGTTGCTCGACTCGAGTTTTGTCACAGACGGTGCAAGAATACTACCCCTCTGCATGGTTGTTACAAAGAGGTGGAAGTGGAGCAATAAGAAGTGCTATCATTGAACAGCCGGTCGATGCTGATCACCCTACCTCTAGAGCCTCCGCCTTTAAAGGCAAAATGTGATTTACCCAAATCACTACATATAAGACTCATGTGTACTGCTGAAGCTTCGGCCATCAAAACAGAAAAGCCAGATCTCCGTACACACAAAACGTCCATTCAACTCGTCCAACTTTCATGGTCTTAATCCCTCTATGCTAAAGCATGGTAATCCCTAATCATATTTTGGCTCTACCAATTTTTTTCATTCTGTCTATTCAGCTTGTATACTCTTCCTGTATTACGTCAATCATTACTATTACTATTATTCTCACCTTGAACTGTCTCCGGTATTATTTCAGTCGCTCCACTTGTCATTCTAAATCAATTCTATTTTGTAACGTTACATTCTGTTATCAAGTTTCACACAGCGTTACGTAGTGTTGTTATTTTTATTCTATTCGCCTTCTAATCCTATAATTGCACATCATTTCCAAGCTCTATTAATCCTATGAATAATCTTAATATCAAGCAATATTTAAAAAAAAAACAGCCAAAACAGTAAACAAAAAGAAAATTTCACAGTGATTGTTTTATTTAATCTAATCACATTTATAAAGTGTGTACATAATAAAATGCAAAGAAAAGCAATGTTTAAAGTTTAACATGACTTCGCCAACAACGTAAGCAGACTTTGTAACTATCTGATTTTGTTTGCATAAAGTCTACAACTCGTACACGTTTACCCACAGGTTCTTCTCCACTGTCAGTGATCATATCTAATTTGTCACCTGCATAAACTTTAGTACCCAATTTAAGAAGTTTTGTTCCATTTAGTCGAAATCGACTAGAAAAGAATGCATTATCACATGCACTCTGTGTTATACCTAGGCCTACACGAATAATCTTATCAAAACGTAATGATTTAACATATGTTGATATCTGTTTAAAATTTGGATTGAATTCAACGTCTTCTAAATAATATGGATCATTTGATTCGCTACTGGCATCAGCGTCATCAGGAAATTCTTCATCTGAACTTTCGTCATCATCTTCATCTTTATCGTCGGAATGACGACGTCCTCGTCCAGTATGCTTTAATAAGTTAGTTGAATAAATCGGTAGAAATTTCCTACATGATACTGTACCAATAGTTCGAAAGCTTCTATGTAGTCGCCCAGGTGCCTTGTACAATGAGGATATGTGTAATGCAACACCAAATAAACCCCAACAATAATTCATAATCCATTAAAATAATAACACAACCTGCAAAACAAAATAGTTGAGGATTTACTTTTTCCATAATTATAACAGTAGTGGCTGAATTAAAAGTTAGGCCAACAGTGACAACTTGTAAAGATAATTTACGTGACCATACTTACAGAAGAATGATCAGTTACTTTTTTTAAATAAATGACAATCGTGGCATTCTTGATACACGCACTGATAAAATGTTACACAAGCCAAGTAAAAGCATTATAAGCCATATTTTTATTCTTATGGCACGTGGAATATGTGCTTATGCAATGACTTACAAAAGCCCATTCTATTCCTGTTGGGACTCAACCCTGATAGTTTATTTCGGAAGATAGTAAAAGTTGACGAGAAACCTGAATTACCTTTATTAGATATGTTTTCATATGGAATCGCTTCAATTAAGCTAACTAAACCTTAAAACCCACACAGGGTATTTTATCTTTCTACAGAGCTCTGACAAACAGCAAAACTGCGGATTCCTGTCACCCCTCATGGTCTAACAACTCCTATCTCTCGCCTAACGTACGTCTACCTTTGGTTGCTATGCTCATAAAATTCCCCGCACAATAAGTAATGTCGCCAGAGTAGAAGATCCCCAAAGTCATACTATCCACAAAAGAGGTTACACACACTACCCTTTAAACTAAAGGCTTATTAATCTTACCAGGATCCTAAACGGGCTACCAGAGAGAAGAATCATGAAGTTATGGATTAACTAGAAATTAATAAGTCCTTATTTAGGGCACAAGGCGGTTTTGAGAGGTAACTGTCCTATCTGACATGCCTTGCGATAGAAAGATGAGTTAACTCTATATGTAACACAAAACTCATCGACAATGTAAGGTATTTTGGCAGATACCTCATAAAAAATTTCATATTAGTTTGCTTATTGGATATATCACACATAAATCATACAGTGCCCAAGTTTTACACATATATTAACCTCATACAAGACTCCATGAGACTAGAAACTTTTAGCACCATGGGCAGACAACCTAATCGTTGCTAGTCACACGCCAAACAAAAATATCAAGACTTCTGCACCTATCATCAGCAAATTGCATTCAATGCAGAAAACGTATGTTAGACGCAAACGGTTTAACGACACCAGTGTTATTATATCTATGCAAGTATGTTATAACATACTTGTTAACAATTCCGTAGCTACTTAAGCATTTACCAGGTATGTGAATAATATTTTTAAAGAGGTTGTTTTAAATGTGTTTACTCTTTGATAATGAAAAACCTTTTCCTCGAGTGGAATTCGTCACATTAAAATACAAAACTATCCATAAAAGTTCCATGATATTATGACTCCCCACATTCGAACTACGGTCCCCCACGTGTAAGAGACGCAAAAATGTAACAGATAAAATAAAGCGAAAGAGTATGTCAGTTACAGGGTTTAAAAATGACTCCAATGGTCATTTTGACTACATTAGAAAAAACAAAAGACGCGTGAAGCGACCCATTTCAAAGCAACCGCGAAAGTCTCGGAACCAGTACTCAGTAGTTTGTGAAGTTGTCGAACTGATGTCTTGTTGCTCACTTGGTAAGATTATCAAATAGCTCCAGATGTTTTATAGACTGTGAAAGAGAAGACTGATCTACTTAGGTGAAGTGACTTCCTTGATGTGCATTATCATCTTGATGAGCCGGTATGAACCAAAATGAAATCTTCGTAGTTCCAGAATAATTTCTCATCTCCGGCGGATTTCTGAGTAGCCAGTTAGCCGAATGCCTGTCGCAGATCTCTTTTGCTCCAAGAGATGAGAAACTTTCGATGAATTCGAAGGACAGCTTGTGGTCAATTTTTAAGACTGTGTCATACCTTTAAAGGAAGTTAATGATTTTGTTGACCAGCCGTTCTGTGTGGTCGAAGGAAGAATGGTATGATAAATATTTTGGTAAAAAACATTGGTTTATTTGCAGAGAAGTTTGCAATCCAATCCAGTTACTAAAACCTCTATTTTTAGTAACTGCGATTCCACTAGAACATTGAACGGCATGTAGATCAGTAGTTAAGGCATAAAGAGGCAAAATAAATACCTCAAAAATAGGAACCAGAATTGGAAGCGTTAAGTCTATAAGTAAGGCTTCTGGGTACTAATTGCCAACATAGCTTTAGATCTGAAAAAACCAGGAAGAAATCTTGCTATTCTTAAAACTTAAATCTTCACAATGAATTCTGAGTTCTGCAGATACAAAAAACTTATATTAGTGAGAACTTAGACTATCGTTTCCAGCGATTTTCACCCTTCCTAATCTTGGAATCAGGTGTCGTTTTAGGTGTTATTGTGTCCTTTGCGTTGGCCAATGCAATTGATTAAATTAAACGAGTCATATGGTGGATGATGTTTTCCTTCCTTTCTGTAAAACACTTATTCCAAGAGACTGAAACATAAATGAGCATAAAGTAACAGACACAAAGTGAGTTGCTATTGCAGGCGATTAAAATTTCAGATGATATGTAATGTTTTTAAATCAGATTTAAACCTCCTCTGGGTATCTAGCTTGCTAGTTTGGGCTTGGGGTTAGCAAACCCACACCACTAAACCTATCAAACCTTTGAAGAAACTTCAAAACACAGAAAATATATTAAAAATACAAAAACTTCAAATAACGACAATCGTATTCTTCGCTCGAATCGGAGAGGTGAAATGACACAGCGGACTGGTCTTTGGGAAGCCAGTCAGCCGGTCGATGTGTCTCCTCCTGATGAAAGTGAGAACATGCATGAGGTCGTGAGATGTACGTTCAATGTACGAGACTGGGAAGGCTGCCAAGGCAGCCAAGGAAATGTAAAATATGGCATAGAAATACTGGGTATCTACGAAAGCAGATGGAACGGATGTGGATTGTCAAGATTGTCAATTGGAGAATCGATAATCTGCTCCGGTCTGGTCACCCAGGCAACAACCATGAACACACTGAGGCAATGAGTGGCTATTATTATGTCACCAGTAACAGCCAAAGCTGTCATGCAGTGAGAACCAATTTCATCCAGGATCATGACAGCAAGATACATCTCAAAAGCACGGAAGGAAGGTCACAATTATCCAATACTGTGCACAGTGCCACAAACAATGAGGAACAGGAGAAAAAGGATGATATTTATACACAAATATAGATAGTAATGGACAACATTCCTAATGGTCACATCAAAATCCTCGTGGGAGATATGAATGCCAGTCCAACGGTGCCAGAAGAGAACTCATTTTGGGTCGAAAGGCTCTCGGAGGAATGAATGAGAAAGTAGGATTATTTATGGACTTCTTCGCTTTCAGTGATTCAGTGATTGGAGGCAGCGCGTACAAACACAAAGGTATACACAAAACAACTTGGATTCCGCCTGATGGACACGCCAAAAACCAAACAGATTTCATCTCAATCTCAAGGAAGTAGAGACGCAGCCTGCTGGATACAAAGTTGAGAAGAGGAGATGTGAGCGAGCTCAGATCATCATCTAATTCAAGGAACCTTCATGGTGAAGCTGAAATCCATGAAAACAAATGGAGACAGACCACAATTCAAGTTCAACATTCAGAATCTGAAAGACAAAACTACAAGGGATGCCTTAACTACAGATCAGATCAGACCGAAGTCGGACGCACTACAGGGTATTACAACCACAAAGGACACTTTCACTGCAACTGTCAGAGCAAAGCAGGAAACACTACGTGGCATCACTGGGGAACCATGCGTGGACGAACACTGGGACTCTTTGAAAGCGATATTTAAGGAAACGTGTACAACTGCTCCAGCAAGAAGGAGGAGACAAGACAAGTAATTGCTCTCAATGGACACTTGGAAGCTAATCGAGGAGAGGAGAGGAGGATGGTGAAAGAGAAGATGACTCAATGCAAGGATGGACAACAGGAGGAGAAGATGAGTTCAATGTACACTGCACTGAATAAAGAAGTGAAGAAGAGTGATAGAAAAGACAATTCTCCGACACACTGGCAACTGAAGCAGAACTGGCGGGTCACAGGTAAAAAAGGACATCATAACATTATATCAAATAACCAGGTCTATCGCTATCCAGGAAGACATCAACCCAGATGATGAAACCAATAAAAGACGCTCAAGGGAACCTGATTACGAAGGAGGAGAAACAAATCATATAATGGGCTGATGACTTCAAAGGACTCTTTAATCGACTATCACTTGCAGCTCGTTTAGAAATACTAACACCAACAACAACATGCACGGAACTACCAGTAGACAACAACTCTCAAACGAAGCAGAAATCCTGAATGCCATGGAGCCACTGGGGTCCAGGAAAGTCGCAGGACCAATTGAAATCATCCCTCCAAATGCACCGAAAATAGTCCCGGAGGCTTTCTCAGGTGTACTCACGCCATTATCGCAAATAATTCGGAAAGAAGTAATGGTACCTACCGATTGGAAGAAGGCTACCTCGTCAAGCTACCAGAGAAGGGCGACACAGACCTGTGCAATAACTGACTGGAGTAGAATAATTCTCTTGTCCACGCAGAGTAAAATACCAAGTAACATCATCATGGAGAGAATAAAGTATGCACTGGATGCAGAATTCTGCTATCCCCACCAGTACAAGCTGGGTTCAGGAAAGGCAAATCATGTACTGATCAAATTTAAACTGGTCATCGAACAGAACGTGGAATGGCTTTCAAAACTCTACTTCAACTTCATTGACTTTGAAACTGCATTCGACAGCGTTGACCAAGGAGTAATTTGGAAACTACTTCAACACTGCGACGTGCAGTGCCCAAGACTTTACCGACCTCATTCAACATCTGGCTAAATGACATTGACACGTGTCAGGCGATCCTGAACGGGAAACTCAGTGAGGCGTTCGAAGTGCATACAGGAGTGAACGGGGCTGTCTATTATCACCGATGATATTCCTAATTGTGGTGCACTGGATTACCCGTCAGACTGTGGGGAGCGGGGAGACAGGGGTAGGCTGAAACACCACTGAGAAGACTCCAGAAGATCTGCATTTCATACGTGGATTATTTATGTCTAATACCACACAAACTCGAAGATTTGCATCTGAAAACAAACCAGCTGGCTGAAGAGTCTGGCAGAGAAGACAGCACTGCAGGTGAACATAAGGAGGACAGAGATGGTGAAGATCAACAACCACCAACATCAACAACAAAACCCAGCACCAATCACCATCAACGGGAGATATTTGACAGAGATCGCTTCTTTCACCTACCTGGGAAGCATCGTTTCAAACACAGGCAGTTGGAACAGATGATGATGTCAAAGCTATCCAGAATCGGAAAGGCAATATACGTCTTCATCAACCTGAATTTAGTTCGGAAATCTACCTTCACTAAGCCAGCATAAAGACCAAGGTTCGGATTTTCAACACAAATGTGAAGTCAGTCAGCTCTTCTATACAGGTCAAAAATTTGGCTAGTGTGTCGCGAAAAGGATTTTCAACAAGTTACAGGCTTTTATCAACAACTGCATCAAGTAGCCAGAAAGAATTAGTAATAGGAGACTCTGGAAACAAACCAACCAAGAGCCGATCACTCAACAAATATGTAGGAGAAAATGTGGATGGATCGGACAAACATTGAGGAAACCGTTTTGTGATATCGAGCGGCAGGCCCTAGAGTGGAATGCAAATGGGAAGTGACGAGTGTGTCATGCATGCGAGGGTGACATGGAGGAGATCGCGAGTTGGGGATGAAAGCTTGCGGATAATTATGAATCCGACTAAAAAGACCGTAGAAAATAGAGTGAAAGAGGGATGTATCTCTAGAATTGAGTGAAGAAGACACAGCCCAGATATTTGGTCTCTGGATGAACGTTAGCAGTGAAGTAGGGGACTGTAAATTTCTATGGCTTGTGAATCTTGTATCAGACTGGAGTATACAGTATACTCCTCTTCTCTTAGGTTACTTTGCCTTGCGCGAAATGTAACTATCAGGTTGAGCCAGGCCAATGCGGAGGAGTCACAGAGTTGCGTGACCGAGTCGTAGGTTGAGCACCATGAGGGATTACATGGTAATTATGAACGTTATCTGTAGCTGGGGCCAACAGCAAGCGAAACATTTTCTTCGGTTCCTTCGTTAGAAATAGGTAATGCACAACAGCTGATAGGGAAATTTACAATCGAGTACAGGTTACCGCCAAGCTGCAAAGAAATGTATCGAGAGACAGTCGATGAAATGTACGCGAAGCTTACTCGGCATGCCAAATAATCATTGCATAAACCATATATTTAAGCGTCCTGTCACGCAGGCAATCAGCAAATGCTCAAGAACAATATCAAATAATAATTTTCATATAAATTCATCCAACAAGAGCAAAATAAGCACCAAAATCACGTCAGCTCCGTTTGCCAGGACGACTAGCTCCAACTCGAACCAACTAAGCCGCGCAAGTGCCGCCAAGGTAAAGCTAGAGGCGCCACTTCAAATAGGGGA